TTCTATACCAAAATAAATTTCTCTTGCTTGTAACAGTTTATAAACTGTCTTATTTACTTGTTTTATTATTTTACATCAGCAAATAAATCCTTAAATATGAAAAAGTCCTTGGCATATAGCTGAAATAATTCTAAAAACTGTTATTTTTTTAGTAAGAGTTGTAAGAGAGTATACAGATTAGAATTTAGGAAATATCCTCAAAGTCTCTAAATTGGGAATTTGTGTTCACTTCTTTTTAACATGGTCAACTTAACTTGTTCAAAATAAGCCACAGGCTTGCTAACAATAAGTAGGAACAACAGCCTAATATTTTAAATGTTCATAGTATTACTCTGTCCAGCAGAATACTATGGACTAAAGCAGGGCTTTTCAACCTTTTCACCCATTGTACCACTTTTAGGATATGGCAATATCTGAGTACCACCAGTCACCTAGCAAGGTGTCAAAAACTTGATGACCAAAAAAAAAAAAAAAAAGGAAAAAAGTGATAAAGTACAGGTAGGCCTCGGCTTACATCAGTTCACTTAGTGACTGTTCGAAGTTACAATGGCACTGAAAAAAGTGACCCCCAAGCCACAGCTGAGCAAGACACCTGCCTGCCTGCCCGCTCTGTGGTGCTCTTCCTCTTGTCCGAGGTTTTCATTGTTGTGAGCATTTCTGTTGAGGACTGGCAGCGGGGGTGGGGTGGGGGGTGTTTGGTTTTTATTCCACCCATCTGCTGGGTGGTTGCAGCAGGTTTTGGTCACTTCACATGACCCTGGGACACTGTGACCGTCATAAAAATGAATCAGTCGCCAAGCATCTGAATGTAAATCACAAGACCCCGGAGATGCTGCAACATTCCAGCTGATCGGCGCTTCTTCTGGGCTCAGCCCCGAAGAAGCTCCGATCAGCTGGAAAGCGGCACTGATCCTGGCACTTCTGCTGAGCTCTGACAGCCCGGCAGCTCCAGCCATCTCTCGCTCAGGCTTGTGCGGTGTTGTCATTGGTTCAGCTCATTCCCCTCCCCCGCTACCACTTTTCTAGGATGCTGTCATTGGTTCAGCTCATTCCCCTCCCCCGCTACCACTTTTCTAGGTGCCAATGTACCACAGGTGGTACCCGTACCACTGGTTGAAAAGCCCTGGCTACAATTTTTCAAACAAGCTCATCTTTTCTTAGTTTCACCAGTGGATTGTCTCATAAGCATTTCTTGGAAAGAGTACACTTTCCAAATTGTCTTACTCAATGTGTATTGGCACTGTCTTGATGTAAACCATTAAAGAGCAGGACTAACCCACATTTACAGGTAAGTGGTTTCAGTGGTGAATGATTATTCTTTCAGTAGAGGAGACTGTATTGTTGTCAGGTAGTCGACAAAGTAAGATATTTCATTGGCAATATTCCTTGGAGACAAATTGAAGATGAACTTCCCTCTGTAGAATCTACAGCAGAAAGGCAGGAATGGCCAAATGTCCAATCAAGGGTGACAGTTTTACAAGAATATTTGTGACACTCAACTAATCCAGCCTCCTCTTTTGATATTATTAACTAATGTTGCTTAACTTAATTGCAAAACATTCCTTTCTGCAACAAGTCTTCTAAAACTTGTCTCAAGCACCAATCAAATAATAAACAAAAAAACAAGTAAATAATGAAAACCACCACATGCTAAATACATGAAAATGTTTACAAAATTATATAAAAAAGAATTTTTTTGATAATGTTCTTTTCCGCTGAATAAAGAAAACAAACACAGGGTAGGGCAGAGTTCAGGGAATCTTGCTGGCTAAGGTTTTACCTTATTAACATAATACAAATATATTTAAAGACAACTGAAGTGAATGTCAATAATAATAATAATAATAATAATAATAATAATGTTGGAAGGGACTGTATTGGTTTGAAATTGACAGTAGATATCATGGGCAAAAGAGAGGGAATTAGTTTGTTGTAATAATTTGAAATTTCTACTGATGATATTCAAATGTAACGGAATTACTGTGCTCAGCCACCACGCTACTTTTCAAATGTGTAAATGTAATATTGTAAAATTAATAAAAAACTTGAAACTGGAAAAAAAAAATAAAATTCAAACTGCAGGAAAGAATGGTTGAGAAAATGATTTTAAACATTTTTTTTTAAATTAAAATGAATTCTTATAGGAAAAATTGGCACACAGCTATGCGAAACTCTTTAGAGTAAAAACTTTTATTAGAACACTCTACCAGCAGAGAAAAATGTCAGTTTCTTTAAATAAAACCTGTAGTTTGTAAGACTAACAGATTACAGAAGACAGCAGCTGGTGCATTTTAACTACATGAATACTGCAGCACAGCAAACGCCAACAAATCATGCTAGACCTCCATAAAACATTTCCATTTTTAAATGTATTCTTAAGTTCAACATGAATAAAATATAGGAAAATGAGAATATATGTACATATCAAAGCTCAACAAATCAACTTCTCATTGTATTAGCAGATTTTATACTCTATCTCCACAATGGTAACAACATTTGTGTGTAAAGTATTTACATCAACTTTGTATGACCTGACTGAAAAATAAAGCTAAGCACTACAAAAATCAAATTCCACATATCATACCAACTAGCAATAGCTTACCATGCAACTGTGAGCATGTGCTTATTCTATGTCATCACAAAGTGGGTTATGGTTTTACCAATTGCCTTACCAATTGCCTAAGTACACTGGATTATCTTCATCTACTAATCTAGTCATCTAGTAAAAAAACAACCAGTAAGATTTGTTAAGTATGATCTATTACTTAATAAAAGCATGCTGGTTTCTAGTAATTACCTTGCTTCTTTCTAAGCGCTTGCAAACTCCTAGCTTGCTTGTCTTTTGTAAGATTTTTCCAGGTATTTATGTCAACTGGATTAATCTGTAATTCCCTGGATCATTTTTTTTCTTTTTTTAAAATATAATATTATGTTTTAGCATTCACCCATTGTACCACTTTTAGGATATGGCAATATCCGAGTACCACCAGTCACCTAACAAGATGTCAAAAACTTGATGACCAAAAAAAAAAAAAAAAAAAAAAGGAAAAAAGTGATAAAGTACAGGTAGGCCTCGGCTTACAACAGTTCACTTAGTGACTGTTCGAAGTTACAATGGCACTGAAAAAAGTGACCCCCAAGCCACAGCTGAGCAAGACACCTGCCTGCCTGCCCGCTCTGTGGTGCTCTTCCTCTTGTCTGAGGTTTTCATTGTTGTGAGCATTTCTGTTGAGGATTGGCAGTGGGGGTGGGGTGGGGAGTGTTTGGTTTTTATTCCCCCCATCTGCTGGGTGGTTGCAGCAGGTTTTGGTCACTTCACATGACCCTGGGACACTGTGACCGTCATAAAAATGAATCAGTTGCCAAGCATCTGAATGTAAATCACAAGACCCCGGAGATGCTGCAACATTCCAGCTGATCGGCGCTTCTTCTGGGCTCAGCAGAAGTGCCAGGATCAGTGCTGAGCTCCAGCTGGAGCTGGCGCTGATCCTGGCGCTTCCACTGAGCCCTGACAGCCCCGAAAAAGCGCCAATCAGCTGGAAAGTGGCCTGATACTGGCGCTTCCGCTGAGCCCTGAGAGCCCGGCAGCTCCAGCCATCTCTCGCTCAGGCTTGTTCGGTGCTGCCATTGGTTCAGCTCATTCCCCTCCCCCTCTACCACTTTTCTAGGATGGTCAGGTACCACCTGCCAGGTGCCAATGTACCACAGGTGGTACCCGTACCACTGGTTGAAAAGTTCAAAGTTACTATAAGATTCATGCTGATGTCAAAGGCATTTTTCACAAACCATATCCTTTCTCTTATTCCCTCAAAAAATTTATAGAAAAGGAACCATAAAGAATGGAATAGTATGGCATTGTGCATATATCAAACGTAGTAATGAGGCAGCTCGTATCATAATCACCTCACTTACTTAAAAGATAAATCTAGGCTGTATGGAAGTTATATTTGACTGCTTATTGTTGTGAGGCTCCAGAACCATTCCCTTTAAGAAACAGATGATCTACGTTGCTGCAAGCAAAAGCTCAAGACTTGGTACTGATGATGTTATATCTGCAACCAAACTCAGAAAATATCAAAGACCCCTCATTTCAACCCTGAGCTACAAATATTAACCTTTATTGCAGGGGTGTTAAACTGCCAGCCCGTGGGCCGGATGCATCACGCAGAAGCCATGCCCACCCCGTTGCCGGCAATGGCAAAACAGTCTTGATATGTTGCGTGATGTCACATGACATCGTGAGTTTGACATGTCTGCTTTATTGGCTCCAGATTTACTGTATGCCTACTAGCAGCTGGGTTCTTCCTAAAATGACAAACATATAGCCAACTAGATTTAGTTGAACTCTCTTTGGCCCATACTGCAGATAAGGATCAGAAGCAACAAATGTAAAACCATGATTATCCAACACAAAATATTCCACCGATGGAAAATAATGTAGAGGAATTTCAGGAATCGCAATACTACTATCTCCTAAGAACTATTTGTCACACAAGTTCTTTAATTTAAAATGCAGATGTTGGTGATAATTCATGTGGATAATTCTTTTTTATCAGTTCTAAAAAAATGAAAACTTAACCTTCTCAGGATTCATCACCCAGCATGTGTACCGGAGGAACCTAATACAGGGCTATCTTCTCTACTGTTTACCAGAAAATACCCATCAGATGAATCAAAGTATCCTCAAAAACCTGCAAAAAGACAGGTTGTTTTTTTTTTAAAAGTTCTTGTTGTTATGTTTGTAACTTGCTAAGAGGGAAGGAATATAAATGTTGCCCCGGGCAGACATTTTTGTAAAAGATAGGACTCCATTCACTGCTAAAGATCACATGAGATGTAACATTTTCTGGCAGCCATTTTAGATCCAGAAATGGGATTAACAACATGTCAATGTGCAGAGTTCATTCTTAGTCTGTGCTGCTGTACCAAATAAAACTATTTCTCTCAAAATATTTTGTTACTAATGCAGGAAAGCCAATGTAAGTATACAGAGTACTAACCTTATGATGACATTTAACAGGATCCAAACTGATTATGAAAACTCAGCAGATTGGCCACCAGGTATATTTACCCTGAGGAGGTCCAATTCCATATATGTGATACAAAATTGAAGATTCCTCTCTCATCAGTTATCACCCACTTTCAGAAGCTGAAGGGAAAAAAAAACCTCTGCTGAGAAGCTAAATGTTGTGACAGATTTATGTATCCCAAGTTATTTTGGCTTTTAAAAAAGAACGTAACACCAATCCACAGAAATGGATTCATAATCAGCTGTTTTAATACTAGCAATATGTGCTCCTTTTTACCTCTCCCCATTAGGAGCTTAGTAGCTGTTTTCTGACTTAAGTGCTGTTTCCAAGAAGTCTTCAAAGGCAGCCAATCACAATTCACTTTAATCATAGCATACAAAACTGTGGACAAGCAATTTCTCTCAAGGGACAGGCACAATTCACATACTATAGTAATAGTTTATGCCATAAATGTTATTTGGACCTTCACTGACAGATGTATCCAGAACAATGGACACAATCACTTCATTCAGAGAACAACCCCCAGCATTTTCTCCAGGGACTTCAATTCACCTAATCCGGTTCATGACAGGTGTCACATAGGCATCAAAGCAGTAAATTCATGTAGATAATGAAAAGCATGGGAAGCAAAATAGCCATGTAATTCCAGGAAAAGATACCAGAGCTACATACCCCAAAATTCAACATATTGTGGAAATAGAACAATGCAAAATAAAAATGAATCTATATATTTAAACATATTTAATCTCTCTCATATATAGAGAATCACCTAAAAAGTTCTATGCATATAGTGGGGCTTCTATGCACTTATTGAGTGTATACTGAAGTGCAGATATAAAGTTAATATGCATCTGAATTCACATCTAACAAAACTCACACTACAGTGATCTTCTGGCATGTACATTCTGATGAACTTCCTCAAGTGCTACCTAATGCATCCGGAGCACAGTTTGTCAATCTTGTCACCCTGATAATTGAGAAAATAAGAAACACTGTTATGGCAATGGTGGAGGATTATGAGATTTGTATTACAAAACAAACAGAAGATGTTAGGGCGCCTATCCTTGAATTAGCAAAGTATAGGTACTTTTTAAATCAGACTGGTGAGTGCTTTCAATATTTTTTTCAGAATGCTCTCCATCTGTGAAAACTACATATAGCAACAATTATTTTGCATGGACACTCAGCCAGACATTGCTACAATTGTCTTCCAGCACTTAGCCATAAATTCTATACTTCTACACTTTACTGAGAACTAAGTCACACAGAATTCAAGGGTTTGCTCTTCAGAAAATATTGAAGGAACTGCATTGCACATTCTTTGAGAATTATTTAGCACATCAGAGATCCAATATAAATAGAGCAGTTACCACGATAAGCATATTTTAAACACAAATCTTGATGAGGTGGCTATAGCAGCCTGTTATCATACATCAATGAACTTTTATCAATATTTTAGGGATACTTATTTTTATAGCATTTGTATGATTGCCAACTCAGACAATATGACTGAGTAGCATATATAAAAAAGGAGAAAAAATCAATACACATACTAAACCAACACATATTAACACCAAATAAATAGTAAAAAAAAAAAATACACCAGTACTCCTAAAATGCAGACTTTACTCATTCTGGTCTAAAGGTCTCAGGCAAATGTATTTGTATGTACACATACATAATACAGTGGATATATAAAATCTACATATCTCTGTGTATGCCAATTTTTGGAGATGTTAAAAAAACCCGGACCAAGATAAATCACTTCAGAATTTTTTCCACATTTAATATAACATATAAGCTATACAATCCAACTGAAAATCAAACTGAAATCTTTTAGGGAGTAAATAACAAGACAAAACTAGAATAATCATAAACTTCATAAGTTCACACCTTTTTATAAGTAAGGATATGGCTTTGCTCAGAAATAACCAATTACTTTCAAAGTGATGTTAAATAGTAGTCAGTACTGTATACACCTGCCATCAATTAAACTAACTCTAATCAAGCCCATATAGTAGTACTGTGAGAGGGATCTTGGAGTCCTAGTGGACAATCATTTAAATATGAGCCAGCAGTGTGCTGCAGCTGCCAAAAAAGCCAATAGAGTGGTAGGCTGCATTAACAGAGGGATAGAATCAAGATCACGTGAAGTATTAATACCACTTTACAATGCCTTGGTAAGGCCACACTTGGAATACTGCATCCAGTTTTGGTCACCATGATGTAAAAAAGATGTTGAGATTTTAGAAAGAATACAGAGCAACAAAGATGATTAGGGGAGTGGAGGCTAAAACATATAAAGAACGGTTGCTGGAATTGGATATGTCTAGTTTAATGAAGAGAAGGATGAGGGGGGACATGATAGCAGTGTTCCAATATCTCAGGGCCTGCCAGAAAGAAGAGAAAGTCAAACTATTCTTCAAAACCCCTGAGGGCAGGACAAGAAGCAACAGATGGAAACTAATTAAAGAAAGAAGCAACCTAGAACTAAGGAGAAATTTCCTGACAGTTAGAACAGTTAATCAGTGGAACAACCTGCCTCCAGAAGCTGTGAATATAAAGTTCATCTGTTCTAGTAGGATTTTTCTGACATTTACTCAGTTGCCTCTTATAGCAAAAGCCATAGACTGCAAAAAGCTTTCAGAGTGTCAAAGGGATCTCATTGTTGGAATGTATCAGTCAGGAGAAGAGTGCAAAGAAATTTCCAAGACATTTTATATACCATGGAACACAGTGAAGACAGTTATGAAAAAGTGCAGCAAATATGGCACAATAGTACCAAGAACTGGATGTCCTTTCAAAATTGACAAAAAGAAGACAATTGGTCTGAGAGGCTGCCAAAAGGTCCACAGCAACATTAAAGGAGCTGTAAGAATTTCTGGCAAGTACTGGTTGTGTGCTACATGTGATAACAATCTAGAATATTCTTTATATGTCTAGGCAGTGGGGTAGGGTGGTAAGATGGAAGTCTTTTCTCGCGAAGAAAAAACATTTGAACCCAGCTATAGTTTGCAAAAGCCTACATCAATGGTTTCATGAGATCAAGTTTGATTCCAAAAGTATGTTTGGTGTAAAAGCAACACTGTACATCACCAAAAGTGTACCATACCCACAGTGAAGCATGGTGGTGACAGCATTATGCCCTGGAGATGCTTTTCTTTAGCTGGAAGAGAGACTTTAGTCAAAATGGAGGGAATTATGAACAGTTCCAAATATCAGCCATTTTTGGCACAAACATTCAGGCCTCTGCTAAAAAGATGAAGATGAATAGGAATTTCACCTTTCAACATAACAACCCAAAGCATACCTCAAATCAACAAAATGATGGCTTTACCAGAAGATCAATGTTTTGGAATGGTTCAGCTAGAGACCTGAGACCTGAATCCTATTGAAAATCTGTGGTGTGACCTGAAGACGGCTTTGCACAGGAGATGCCCTTCTTATTTTTGGAAGGAAGAGTAGGCAAAGTTTCCCAAGGAAAGATGTGATAAGCTCCTATCTCAAAAGACTGAATGCTGTCATAAAATCAAAAGATGCTTTAACAAAGTATTAGCTTAAGGATGCGCATCTTTGTGCAACCACATTATTATGTTTTTATTGTTATTTCCCCCAAAAATTGTTTTTCAATTGAATCGTACAATTTAGGTGTAAAAGGTGGAAAAATTGATTTTTTTGTGTGTGATTTTGTGAAAAATTGATTTTATCTTAGTCTGATTTTTTTTATATCTCAAAAACCTGGCATTTTAAAAGGGATGTGTAGACCTTTTATATTCACTGAATTATATCCACCAATATAAGCAGCTGTACACATCATACTTGATTCTGCATGCCTAAATATTCTTTAATGCTTTTTTGATGTGCAGAATGAGATATTTCAAGACTGTTCTACTTTTTATGAAATTTCTGCATAATATTCTGTTTGCTGCCTAATAACATATACAAAAAATTCTGTCACAAGAAAACCCTAAGGAAAATGTATCTGACAATCCGCTCCAACCTATCCAAATTCTATGTACCAATATGTTTACTAATCTTTTTAAAAAATCAACCAGTCTGAATGTTTGTTGTTATAGGCAACTCCTAAATTAATGCAAGTGGGAGGAGAGACAATAAACCACTTGAAACAAAAATTAGATGTCTACGATTCCTAATCCTATCACACTATAGAAGTCTTCCCCTTACTTGAAGCTTTCAGATGTGGATTACAAATCCCAGCCAACACAGGGACTCTGGTACCAATGCAACTTCTGGGATTATCTTGTTGAGCAAGGCTGAATTAGAACAGAACTTTATAATCCATACTGCCTCACTAAAGTGCTTTCTCCCTGGCTTGAGTGAATCAGCGGGCGAAGGAACAATTTCTTTATGCAGAAGGCATGAATAATTTAGCGAATCGCTAATCAGTGTAGGATATCCCATTAGTCTGAGGCACTTCCCTTTCCATCTACTTCCTTCAGTTAGTGAGACTGCTGGTCTAAGCAACACAGAAATGTGAACATTTCTTTCAGGCTTCATATTTAAGACAGGCAACTAAATTACATATGCCACAATATGATCCCACAATGCCCAAAAATTGGCTTATTTTCTAAGAACAGACTTCCTCCAATAACACCACTTAACAATCTGAGTATTTTTTTTGGGGGGGGGGACTCAAAATAATCAGAATACATTCAAAAGTTCTGTCTATATCCCATGAGCCCAATTCCCTGACCTGGTGCAGGAATCTAAATTAAAACTTCTCAAACAAGTGGCTGAATGCATATATAATAATAATAATAATAATAATAATAATAATAATAATAATAATAGTAGATGAGAGCTATGCCAGAGGTTCTACCATACTGGACAGGTCTCATCAGAGGAGTCAGACAAAGAGTGTCTCTCCCATAAAAAATATGGTGAGACGTAAATTTCAGAATGCCATACCGGCTCGGACGTCGCCCGGGTTAACAAGGTCCGCACTAGATATTGGAGTTCCTGGATATCTGGTGAAAAATGGGTTACAGGACTCAGGACTGTTGGCTGAGCAACCAGGGCCAGCAGCTGCAGAACTACTGGAAGAAAAGGTGTTTACCCGTCGCAGATACACAGTGATGGAAAACAAAGAAATAATGAT